CAAACCTGGTGAGGTGATTAGGTGGGAATAATAGAGATTAGAGAAGGGGTTAGATTGGCGGTGACCCGTACTTGGTTTGAATTGATATGTTGTATTAATAAGAGTATAAATAATTATTTTAATTAGTATATAATAATAATAATATATCTACCTTGGGCTGTAACCATGCCCTGTAAAATAGGTAACCACATGAGACAGATCATTTGGGCCACAACTGGGTTGGTGGTCTCCTCTGCTGCTTCCTACTCCAATACGTATCTTGCCCTCCTCACGAGCCTGTGCCTACCACTTTCTTTTATATCAACATCTCTTATTCATAATATTCTCAATTTACAACCCAGCTACTCCCTCCCGCATAATTAAATTATCTTAAATAAAATATTACTTAAAAGTAATATGTTTTTTTTCCTAACATACCCTTACTGCGGAGAGGATAACTGTGAGGGAGAATTTTTTTTGTTGGGGGGGGGGAGATGAGAGAGTTTAATAAGGGAAAGAGGGCATAAATGGAGCAACATATATTGAATAAGAGTAAAATTTAAAAAAAAAACAGTAACCTATAAATAAAATCAGGGGGTGTATTTAATTACAAGTATATTGATAAAATGCTCATGCTTTGACACTGATGGTTGAAGGGGGAGCCATGCAATTAAGATTATTATTTTTTAAAAATTATTTATGAAGAACAGCTAGATAAAATGAGCAAGATTTGTACAGTAATAATAGAGGATTTGAATTGAATTTAATATATTGCATAATATTAAGACTTTGCTGCTTCCCATATTTAATTTTGTGGCATTTAACAAGTTTGATGACTTTGCTACTTTTTATATATAATTCATTATAGGCTATATTCTTTTTGGTCCTCTGGACTGAATCCAAAATTTAATTTTATTCTTTGAAAAGAAAAAGGCTGTGACATGTGTCGTGCCTTCCAAATAAATACAGAGCTGTCCCTTTTATAAGAAAAATCCCTTACAGGGCAAGTTATGAAATGTGTAAAGACATAATAAATATTTACTACCTAAATTCATTTCCAATTTGGACGATGAGTTGATACTTTATTTATAAATATCATTATATATTTTGCATATGAAGTTTAGAAAAATTAAGATAACTCCCTATATATTCAAAGAATCAATATAAAGTTATTAATTTAGATAATTATTTTAATAAGTAATAATGAGAGATGAATAAATACGTGTTCCCTCCATATGAGAATAATGTGGCTTTAATTGAATGCCCTGATCATCAAACGTTATTTCAATCGCAAACAATGATTGTTGTCTACAATGACCGGCCCGGCTCCACGCCCCACCCACGCCTTATCTGTATCTCACAACATCCTTCATAAAATTATTTTCCTTATCTAAAACAATATTCACTTAACATTTATTAATTTGTACAATAATTTTTAGTAGAATTAATTTCTGATGGCCAGAGGGCGAATATGTGCGTGTTTTGTGCCAGCCACCTGTTTATTCAAGCTACAGTTGGGTATTAAACATAATTATTTTTTAAACAAAGATTCGAATATTAATTCATCATGTTATCAGGAATTAACATTTGATTTGTGAGTAAGAACATCAGAATACCTAATGACATGAAGCAATGGGCCTATGATAAAGAGAATTAATGTTGATCAAAATCTTGTTTGAAACTGAATATTTTTTTAGTGAAAATTTGAATATTGGTTCAGTTCTAGTATTTTGGGGTTTGAGTATAGATATCACAATACCTAACGAAATGAATCATTGGGCGTGGAATTCTCCAAACTCACACATCATGTAGCTGCTTTTCCCTTTTATTCTGCTTTTTAATATTCGCCATCATCACCAATGTCTTCAAAACACACAAGTGGAGGAAAAATGATGCCCCTGAAAACACACTAGCAAGTTGTGGGAGATCCTGCTGCTAAACTTATTGCGAATGATATGCTTCATTTTAAAGTTCATAAAAAATAAGTAGCAAGATATCTATAAAGGTGAAAGAGAGAGCCACCACCCGTGTACATGTATAAAGAGAGAGACAACACTTTGAGACGAGGAATGCACTTTCCAGACGTTACGAGAGAAATAAAACACGTTATTCATTATTTGTTATGTATCTGTGGAATTCGAACAAATTTTCTTCAAAATAAAAGTTACGCACACTACGCTGAACCCAGGCTTGAAGATCATTGCAGGTTCCAAAGTCAGCAACGAGTTTCAAGAAATCTTTAAAAGGTTTGCATTGGAGGTTATTGAACCTTGGGAGGAACAGATGGAAGGACAGGGTCAGGACATAGTCTAATAACAAGGTCTTCATGGCTCATCTCTTTTAGTGGATCTGTCATGCTTCTTCTCTTTTGTCTTCAAATAATCGAGGCCAGAAAAATGAGGTGGCGCCTAGCCCCAAAGGTCACAGCCCATGAAGCCTTGTTTCTGTCTTCCTATGGATCTTTGGGCCGCGGTCCACGCAAGTTTTCCGATTTTTTTTTTGAACTCATTTTCCGATTTGACATCATGGAACAATATTTGTCTCTCTCCCTCCTTCCTTTTTCCACCCTTCAATAATGACTGGGTCTAACAAAAAATACTAGTTTATTATAATGTTGGAAATCAAAATTTGAATATTCATTAGAAAAAGTGCTCATTTTAGTATCAGATATTATTTTGAATAAAATTGCTTCTGAAGATACACGTGCTTAGCAAAAACAAAATAATAATGCCAATATCATTCTTTGTACCTTTTTTCCGTGCATAAAAAATTTGAATATGTAATTTACGTGAATTTTTCTCCTAACTCATTTAGTTTAATACTATCTCCTGTCCTTAATATAAGACCCTATTTGACTTTTATTTTGATCCTCAATATAAAACCTAAATCCACTTTATCTTTCACATTTGTATTTTTTTTTTTCAAAGTAGCCCTTCTAACAATGATAGTTATAGTTAATACACTTGATTAGCAATGATACGTTAGGAAAAATAACACCTATTTAGGACAAATAACTAACTCAACTTATTTTTTTAATTTTTTTCAAATTAGTCAATTGACTCTTATAATTAAAGCGGAGATAGTATTTCTTTGTTGTCCCTAGACAACTAAAACTAATCGCCGCCCAAAGTGAGAGGAATCGTACTAATACGGTAATCTCATTCTGAAAAATAAAAACTATCTCGAAAGATGGCATCATTTCATAAATTTGTTCCACCAGTAATTATCTAGTATGTTAATATTAAATAATATTCTTTTAGTCTTAAATATAAAACCTATTTTTTAGTATAAATATAAAATTTATACTAAAAAATAGGTTTTATATTTACGATAGAGAAGAGTAGTAATTATTATAACATTCATGATAAATAGCTACGTTTCTGTTCACAATATTTTGGAAAAGAAACCGTACCGTGATCAATATAAAATGTAGATATTAATTAAAAAAAAGCTTCAAATAAAATGCACCATTATAATTTTTTATTTCTTTTTAAAATTCAGTATATAGGATTGTGAGCATGAGATGGTGGCTGGAGAGTCGAGATCATATTTATAACTTAATTATTCGGTATCTGCAATTTATTTTTTAAAAAAAATTAACTAAACTACGTATTTTTATCACGAGACTTTCCTATTTTGAGTTTTTGACAGTTAAGAATTTAATAATGAAGTTATTTTACAAACGTTAGAAATTTATTTAGCATCAATCTTGAGAACATGATTGTCATTTTCTCCAATTGTGGCGTTTAAAGGTCAAAATGTCTGAAGGAGTGTGGCTCCTCTTCCACACGTTACTACGAGTCTTCAACTCAGACTCCGTCCTATGCAAAATATTCTTAACCATGCCAAACAATTTCTCTTCCACGTCCATTTTTTGTAAAATCTAAATTATTCCTCCGCTCCTTAATATAAGACCCATTTAACTAATTTGATTAGATTAAGAAAGTTAGGTAAGTTAGTTAATTATAAGAAAATTGACACATTTTTCCTAAAACACCATAATCATCTTTCTTAATACCCCCTCTCTCTTTTACTTAATTATAGTTGAGGGAGTATCTATAAGGGTAATTTAGAGAAAATTGATAAATATGAGAAATGAGTCTTATATTTAGGACTAAAACTAACTCAAGAATTGGGTTTTATATTAAGGACCGGAGGAGTACATTTTTAAAAACTTTGTAAAGTCTTATCAGTAGATAACGCGTTGCATAAACTCTAAATTTTTTTGTATTATTTTTAATATAAGATTTAGTTGAGAAATTAGATTTAGTCTTAACTATAAAATGTTTATCAATTTTATTTTTTTTACTTCTCCAATCCTTAATATAGGACTAAATTGTTGAGTTGGTTTTGGTTTTAAATATAAGACCCATTTCTCATATTTATCAATTTTTCTAAATTACCTCTATAGATACTTCCTCAATCATAATCAAGTAGAAGATGGAGAGGGTGGTATTAAGAAAGATGATTATGATATTTTAGAAAAAAACGTGTTACATTTCTTATAATTAACTAACTTACCTAACTTTTTTAATCTTATCAAATTAGATTAAATGGGTGTTATATTAAGAATTGTGGGAGTATTTATTAACTTTTGGAAAAAAAACTGATTCCTTGATTCTGTGATAGAGTTCAAGTTCCGGTGGTGATGTGGTCCAATGACACGCAGAGCTATACCGGCGGAATGATTCTTCCATGACTTTGCCGCCATAGCCTATTTGTTTACAATGCTTCACTAACCACATTTTGATTATCAATTTTATTTTAAAACTGAATTTAATTAATTTTTAAAATATTTTATCATATAAATTTCTTCAACTTAACTACTTGACTCTCACGTTAAACTCCCTATAAAATCCCCGTCTCTTCACCTCTCTCTCTCTCGCCATTCCTATTCAGAATCAAAGCATACAAACACACGCACCCATTATTACTTCCTCTGAGTTCTCTTTCAAAGTTGGAATCTTTCCTTCTAATTCGGAAGGTCAAAATCATGGAAGCCATGTTGAAGCTTGCGCTAGGCTTCTCTGTTCTCACCACTCTGTTTCTCACGTCCTCTGCTCAAAACTGCACCAAACTACACCTTCAACAGCAGCAGAGTCTTCTCCAGGTGTCGTGATCTCCCCCACCTGAGCTCTCACCTCCACTGGACCTTCAACCAGTCCACCGGCCAGCTCGATATTGCCTACCGGCACGGCGGAATCAACTCGACCAACAAATGGGTCGCCTGGGCCCTTAACCCCACCGGCAGTGTGTCCGCCGCCATGCCCGGAGCTCAAGCTCTGGTAGCCATACTACAAAATGGGACCACCAGGGCGTATACCTCGCCAATCTCCAGCTATGCCACCTCGTTACAGGCGGGGAATCTGAGTTTTCCGGTGTCGGGATTGGCGGCGACGTATCAGAACAGGGAGATTATCATATTCGCTACTCTCACTCTCAATGGAGGTGCCAGTTCGATGATTCATACTTGGCAGGAAGGAGTGGTCTCTGGCTCTACTCCTCAGGCTCATTCCATGAGTTCTGATAATACCAACGCCAAGGAGACCTTGAATCTTGTTGATTAGTTATATACTTATGCATGCCACACACATAACAGTATCTTTCCACATGTCATTTGATTAAGAAACCGCCGTGGTCAGGTCTTCATGGATGATGTAATTCATTTTAATAAATCCGCTGTTGAATATAAAATCTAGCTAGTTTTGACATCTTATATTAAAGACTGGACTTAGTTACTCAGTAATGTGATAAATGACATGGTTATAGAATAAAGTTGTGAGAGTTTTATATTAATGGTCCACCGTTTAGTTTGTTTAAGAAATCGTTTGTGTGCTGATTATCCAGGTCAATGTTTTTCTTGGTTTAGTGTTATTACTTGTTAGCATTTGAGAATACACCCCAATAATTCAGTTAAAGTACTTTTAGGAATGGGGTAAATGTTAATCGCCTCAATAAACAGTCGGCGAAATTTTGATGCACCTGCGTAAATCAAGTTTGAGTTGCCGTCCACGCTCTAAGCTCTTTTTCCGGAATGTTTAATGAATTTACACGAGAACACCTCATGTTTTTATATCTATTTTGTTTTAAGGTAACGCAGCTAAGAAGTTTTTAATCTGTTTAAAATACTATTATATGGGACTAAAATACATCATTTAATTCTCATATAATAAAAAACGACAATAAGTGAAAAGGAAGATCTGAAACCAACAAAAAAAGAGATGTGTGTGCATTGGAAGACTCATTAATCTTGATCAAAATAATGTGAAAGTAGCTTTATATATGAATCTTAGAAGTCATAAAATTATAACGGGTTTTTAAATACGATCATCCTCGTTGAATAAGAGTGAAGGTTGACCCAAAAAAAAAAAAGGTTGTTTAAGTCCAAAACAACAAATAAATATTTTAAATCAAACAAAAAGTATAAAAAACGACAGATATGAAATGAAAATACTACTTTTAGTTATTAATACAAATCTTGTTTGATTTTTATTTTGATTGTAGATATAAAACGATTTCAATCCATTTTGTATCTTATATTTATTAATTTTTTATTTAAGATAATCTTTCTAATAATAGTAATTTAAACTAATAAATTTGATTAGTAAAAATATTTTTTAAAAAATAACATCTATTTATTATAAATAACTAATTTAATTTATTTTTTTAATTACTTAAATTAATTAATTAGCTTTTACAAGGGAGGTAGTTGCGAATGGGAGACGAAGCCGGGGGAACATGCGAGTTCATGATGAATTGAAATGATTACGCTGCTTGTGACTTAAGCCTTGCGTATGGTTGTGCACACGTGAGGGAATATCACAGGCCGCACGAGAGTTTAAAAGAGCCCACCGCACCAGGCCCATTCAAGGCCCAACACAATCCAATCAAGGCATCTTGATAGCGCCATTGCTAGAAAAAAAAATAACTAATTTGAGTAATTAAAAAAATTATTAAGTTAATTATTTATAATAAATAAATATTTTTTTTTAAAAGTATTCTTACTAATTAAGCGTATTAGATAGAACTACCATTATTACAAAGACTGTACTAGGAAAAAAAAATATGAGAATAAAAAATATTGGGTCTTATATTTAACATCAAAATAAAATCAAATGTTCTTATATTAAAGATTGATAGTAGTGTGTGTATATGTATAAAAGGTCAAGCAACCTAGGGTTGTTGGGGTCGGCTCCTTATGCACTGTGCTGCTCTCCCACAAATTTAAGGGCGTGTTTGACGGTTGATGTTGATATGGGTGCTAACAATAATCAAAATACGCTTAAGGAGGACACATTAGTGTCAATGCGCGTGATAAGGTGAGAATTAACATGATGCTTGCATTTTTAAGTACAAGGACCTCGAGGCCCAAAAAAAAAAAAAGCGTTGAGCGACTAATGAGTCTTGAAGCTGAAAGCTTCTAGAAGGAATATTTAAAGGAGGGGACGAGTGGAGGAGGATGCTGGATGAAACTTAAAAGGTGAAACCAATGAAATCGAGCCAAGACTGAACGAACGAACCAACGAAATGGGAATGGTCAATGGAGGCAGCATTTGTGTTAGAATATCGGCTCACCTACCATTTACTCACCTTACATTCCTCCTCATCCCCCCCTTACTACCTCCTTTTCATTCTTTATATATACTAGCTCAGTTATTAATATAAACTCCTGTTTGATTTTTATTTTAGTCTTAAATAATTAGACATCATTCATTTTGTCTCTCATATTTCTTTCTCAATTTTTTTTCAAGATAGTCATTCTAATAATATAGTTTTAGTCAATACACTTGATTAGTAAGGATATTTTAG